GTAGGAACGCTTTCGGCCGGACACATACTAAACACAAGATTCAGGCAGGTTGCGCTAGATCTGGGGGGACTAAAACGGATTACGTCGGATTTGGCCTGTTTCCGGTCACGGGTATAGCAGCGCCGATGGTGAATTTGACCTCCTAAGGGTTGCATCCGAACCTCGAGGATCGAGGAGGGAGGCGATCGAAGCTCCTGAGAAGCCCTCTCACTGGACAAGCGCTTTCCACTACTCACTCCTCGCGAAGTAACTACTCGTAAACGGCCTGGATCCGCCGCGGGGGATTTACGATACATGACATTAGAGGACGACATATTTGTTCCAGACGTTTGCGAGTAGGCACTCTGCGAGTAGTGGAACGCGCCCGGTGGCTCACGCTTCGGGCGCCTCCTTTGGGCACACGAAGGCCCTCATGGAGCCTCTGGGGGGCCTCCGGAGGCTGCACACATGAATGACGCCTGGGCGGCAAGAGGACTCCAAACAGCATGCCTAAGGAGCAAAGGGAGCCCGATGCCGTGCTGCACGCAAGGGAGACCATGCAGTGGAGGCCAGTCCACAAGAAACCTTCCACAAGAAACCCAACCCCGAAACCCTAGGACGTCCATCGATTTTTTGGTGTGGGAACTTCAATAAGGAAACCATCGAAACCAGAGAAACCCAGGGCACCTTGGAGGCAAGCAGGGTGTTTCTTGGCATGGGTCTCCATTGTAAGGAGTACAGGGAGCACGATGCCGTGCTGCATATAAGAAAGACCATACAGGAGAGCATGCCGGAGAGCATAATTACGGGAGACCCTGCGACGACGAGCAGCCCCCCCGTGTCCGCCAGGGAACCCAGCAGAAGCCTCCCGAACACCCGCAGGACGACCCCCAAGGCGGCGGCGGCAGCGGCGGCGGCAGCGGCGACGGCGACGGCGACGACGACGGGGAAAGGCACGACGACGACGACGACCACGACCACGACCACGACGACGACGAGGACGTGGACGAGGACGGGGACGACGCCGACGGCAACCACAACGGCGACGGCGACGCCGACACCGACGGCGGCGGCGACCACGCCGACGGCATCGGCGGCGGGGTCCGCGCCGCCCACGCCTGTGCGCGACGGCCACGCGCGGCGCCGGGCAGCGCGCCCGCACGCCTGGGGCCCCAAGGGGGGCGGCGGCGCCCAGGGGCATGCGGCGTTCCCGTCTTGGCCCGCCCGCCCGAAGCGCCGTCGACGTAGCGTGCCGGCTTCCCAAAAATGTCCTCGCTGCTCCTCGATGTGTCCTCGAGGTGTCCTCGATGTGTCCTCGATGTCCTCGCGTTCCCACGACGTGTCCTCGGTTGCCTCGATGCTGCTTCTCCCAGATTGCGGCTCCCGGGGGGGCCGTTCCCAGGCACCGTGGCCATCAAAGTCAACTCTGGGGCGAAAAACAAACCCCGGGACAGGCGTCGGGAGCCCTGCGGCCTGGCAGGAGAAAAAACGATCGGAAGATGTCTAGGGCATCATCCAGTGTCCTCGTCCTCGCCCGCATGCCTTCGTCCTTGTCCTCGCCCCCCTCGCTCTGCGTACTCGTCCTTGGCCTCATCGTCTCACTCGTCGTCGGGCGCGTCGTCGTCGTGGCTGCGGACGTCGTCGAAGTCGCCAACGTCGTCGTCGTCGTGGTCGTCGTCGTGGTCGTCGTCGTCGTCGCCGCCGTCGTCGTCGTCCTCCATGCCCCCTCCTTGTGGATAGCAGCCCCTCGTCGCATCACCAGGCGCGTCGAGAGGGCTGTCGAAACGTTTCGCGCAGGGGGGTCCTGACCGTAAGCTCCATGTGGCTGCACGGACGGAGTGCGATGCGAGTTTGTCGAAGTGCGGGATAGAGCTGTCCCCGCCGCCACTGAGAAGCCCCCTCCCCCTAGCTCGAGCCTGGTGGGGGGTGTTCAGGAGATCAGAGCCTCCCACTCAGAAGCGCGGGTTCGGACGGGGAGGGCGGGGGGAGGGGACCGCCCCCCCCAGTTCGAACACCGGTAGGGGGGGCGCCAAGGGCGACGACGACGACGCCGACGACGACGACGACGACCACCACCACGATGACGACCACGACGGCGACGACGACGACGGCAACGACGGCGACGACCACGACGTCGACGACGACGACGACGACGGCGACGACGATGGCGACGACGATGGCGACGACGACGACGACGACGACGACGACGACGACGACGACGACTGGGCGCTAATAGATTGCGATGAAAAATGGATCAAGCCGTAGTAGGTTTGCATCAAAGCTGGATCAATCCCTAATCAGATTCGGTCAGAACTGTATCCAAACCATAGTAGGGTCTCATGAGGATTGAGCCGAACCCTCAAAAGTAAGGCTAGATCCAGCCCGTTGTAGGTTTTCCATATGAATCTAATCGAGTCCGGATAAGCTTATATTGGCGCTGGAGCCAGCTTTAATATCAGGATTCGTTTGAAGCTGGATTGGGCCCTTCGCAAGATTCCATCAGAAGTGAATGCACTCTTTGATTGATTCTAGTATACTTGGATCGAGCTGTTGTAGGCTTCTAATCAAACCCTAGTAGGATTCCATGCGAGCTGGATCTAGCCCTGGATCGAACCTTCCGTGGGAATTCATGAACTGTAAGTCCAGCATTAACAAAGCCCCGTCTAGCATTCATTCCATTAGGGCCAGATCCAGCCCCAATAACACGAATCTGTTAGAGCTGGATCGAGCCCTCGTCGTCGTCGTCGTCGTCGCCGTCCTCCTCGTCGGCGTAGCTCTGGATCGAGCCTTTGTCGGGCTCCAGAATGCTTGGGGCTTGGGCCTCACTTGCCTCGAGCCGACGAACCAAGACCTCCGAATTTTGGAGAAGATCCAAGATGATTGGCGGCTTCCAGCGGCTCCCGACGGCATCAAGGCAGCAATTATATAAGTCATCGTAAACCCCAGAAGTGAGGTGTTGAACTCTGGCGGTGGGAATTCTGCGACTTCAACTATGTGATGTGACCTATGTTGTGACAGCCATGAGGCACTACGTTGTGTGAACTACGTTGTGTGAACTACGTTGTGTGAACTACGTTGTGTGAACTACGAAATGAGGGCGATGTGGTGGCATCGGCAGAATGCATGTATCTGGTGTTGGACAGATGGGATGAACAATATGTAGGGAACGGCGTTGTGGAAGCCATGCGAAGGGAAAAGACTGGTGCAAGCTATATGGTGTGGGGCTCACGAGCGCCCACGATGCGGCATGGGTGGGCACGTGACGAAGTATCGACCGACCCACTCAAGTTCTGAACACCGAAGCAAGGAATCCTGGTGCAGGCACTGTCAGGGAAACCTAGGTGAAATCGCTCCCCGTTTCCTGCCAAGCAATGTCGCACAATTCCAACGAATGAGTTGTCAAGCAATGCCGCCTTGGCTGTGGAAATACACCGAAACCCGGGTTCGCCACGGATTTCTTGGGAATTGTGTTGCAAACCCGAGATTCAGGTCAGTTTGGTGTATTTCGTAGGAAGACGCCTTCTGGAAGACGCACGACCATGTGAAGGAATGACGCTCGGGGTCCTTCGCGTGGCCACCACACGGGCTCGCTCGTGGCCCAAGTTGCCCGGTCGCGCAATGCACGGCAATGGAAAGCAATGCCTTATCGTTCCACATCTTTCCTCACATTCATCCTCGCTCTCGCCTGGCGTTGCGAACCATTCCCCGTCTGCCGCAAGACTTTTTGCGGATGCTCCTCGTTGGAGACCCTCTTGGGGACCTCACGAATGCCTCTCAAGGGCTTTGGAGACCTCTGGAGGCCTCCTGGGCGCCTCTCTGGGCCGCTTGGGGGTCATTTGAATCCCGCTTGGGCCGTCTTGGGTTCCTCTTGGGCCGTGCTGGGGCCTTCTTGGGGAATTTGTTGGGTCCTCTATGGGCCTCCTTGGGGCCGTCTTGGGCCCTCCTTGGGGACCTCCTATGGCCCTCGTGGGTCTCTCTTAGGAGCATTGGGGGCGGTCTTGGGACCCTCTTGGGCTGTCTTGAAGCCCTCTTGGGGGCCTCTTGGGCCGTCTTGGGGCGATCTCGGAGGCCTCTTGGGACGTCGTGAGCGCTGCTACGACACAAACGGCGGATATGCTGAAAATGTACTTCTTCCCGAGAGAATTGGAAGATGTTTGCCTCGTGTGGGCCCTCCTGAAGGCCTCTTGAAATGTCTTGGGGGCCTCTTGGGCCGTCTTGGGGGCCTCTTGGGCCGTCTTGAGGCCGTCTTGCACTGTCTTGGGGCTCTCGTGTGCCTCTTCGACCACTTCTCTGATCGTTTTGGGTCTGCTGGGCAAGGCCCGGGAGGCGCGGCAGGACTTGCGGACATCTTGCCAGGACCTCCAGGGGTCCGGCTCTGAGGGTGGGGGAGGGTTTTTGTTCCTGCCCCCCCGGCTTGCCAAAATATAGGAAGAGGAATATTGCACCACCGCTCGGCAAGTGCAGATGAGCGAACGCCAGTGGGCTACTGCTGGCGGGCGGATGCTGGAGCACCAATAAACCGGTGCTCACGGGCGTGCTAGCATTATTCGAGCTAGCGCCACCCGAAAAAGCCCAAGCGTGCATATGGTCATAGATCATTTCCTCCATGTGAACAGCGAATGATGAGCAAGAACTATGCGACTGCCAGGATATTGCGAAACACCTGGAGAGCGTTTTTTTTAATGTGTTCGTGGTATAGTGGCCGTTGCCGACCCCGGCCGCTTTTCACCCCAGGTATACAGTCACGATTCGTGCTCACCTCCGAGCTGGCTTTGGTTACTCCGAGGCATTCCCAGATGTTCACGTGACGTTGCCGGTCCCCCGCCCCCCTCCCCTCCCCCGGTAACGCCTGTTATCGGCAGGGAATGAAAAAAAACGCTCTCCTGATTGCAAGACTATTGCGATTACGGGCTGGGCCCGCGCATATCAAACACGGTGTGAGTCTCTCAGAGCTCGACTCCTGGGTGGGGAAAACATCCCTGGACGACCCCTGCTGTCTACAAGCAGGATTACGATTACGCTCAGCTCCGCTCCAGGAGGTTCGCTGAATGCATGGGCACGATATGCAGCCTAAAGCCATCCGCCTGGACAGGCTGGAAAAGCCGTGAAGACGCGTGCACTTCGCCGAACTCTTCTAGGGTACTGGGCACTTCCTTGCTGAAAACGCATCCCGCAAGTCGGGGATACCCTAGCTTCTCATAGAACCCTTCCGCCGGCCCCAACGCAGTCAATCGAAGATCACCTGCCACTTGACGGCGGAGTCCCGGGTATTGCGTCGCTGACTCGATGTAGCGCATCAAGTAGCGGCCCAACCCGGCGCTGCGGGACGCTTGGGTTACCCAGATGTTTTGCAGGGTCCACCACTCCGCCTCCTCCTCGAGCCAAGCCCATGCCAAGACGGCCCCCGTGGGCTCGTCCAGCAGCAAGACGTAGTGCCTGCCGACGCCCCAGGCCGCCGCCGTGACCCACTCGGCGCCTGGACCCAGCGCGTCTAGCAGCGTCGGGAGAGGGCACGCCGGGTCCACCTCTGGAGGCCTCGCACATGGGGCCAGAGCAGATGGGGTCGGAAGATCGCGCCGCATCGGCGGCGTCGGCGATGCATTCACGACGTCGGCGTGGAGACCTCGGGCTCCACACCAGGCCGCCTCGCAGGATGCGCCGGCGATGCGGCGCGGCGCTCCGACCCGGCCTGTTCCGGCCCCATCTGGGAGGCCTGGCAGCCTCGTACAGGGCGTCGACGACCTCCTCGGCGTACGCCCTGTACTGCTCCGGTGGCAGGTCCCCTCCGCTTCCGTGGCCGCTGCCTGCGCGCGGAGCGCGCCAGGCGCGCGCGCGGGGCCGCCGAGCGGGCGCGGGGCCGCCGGACGCGAGGCTCGCGGCCGCGGCGCCGCCGCCCCCGACCGCGGCGATCGCGAGCAGCGCCGCGGCCGCCGCCGCCACCGCCGCAACCGCTGCGCCGCGCCGCGGGGAGTAGAGCGTGAGGAACAAACAAATGCAGACACATACTCCGAGTTTCTTTGTAAGCGTTGGGGGGGGGCGTCACCCCCGCGGACAGCCCCACACCGAGGCCCGTCGCGGGCAGCCGCCGCGCGCCGAAGGCGCTCCGACCCCCGTCGCGGCGCGACGACGAGGCGAGGTTGACCCCATCGGGGGGGTGACCCCCCCACGCTTAACAAGAAACTCAGAGTGTAAACGTTCGGATGCTCCAACGCTGCTGTTCCTGCACTTAGCTCCTTCCTCGAAGGGCGGCCCCCGGCGGGCCCGGGGGCGCAGCGGTCTGGGCGCAGCCATGGCCAAGCTCATGGCCCAGGGCTGGCCCCCAGGGGCGGCTTCCCCGCGGGAAGACAAGCGCTTGACCGCAAATGTGTCCGGGGGCGGCTGGGGACGCACATCGAGGACACGGATCGAGCTGAGGGACAGCACTCTCGCTTCAGCCCCAGCTGCACGTTGGACCCAGAGCCGTGCTCTCAGCGCGGCCAGAATTGCACCGCTGGTCTAGAATCGGGATCTCGATTCAGCCCTGACGGCACCCTCTTCCAGAATCGCCCCCGAATGTACTTGACATACGCCTGTCCACAGGCCACGGCAAATCATCGAGAAACGTCCGAGATGAGCGCCTTGAAATACAAGTACCGCTTCCTCCTCATCAGTCGCCAAAAAAAACAACTCGGCTAACCGCGGGATCATGTTTTGATTATCTACCGTCAGGGCTTCTGTGCAGCTCGCATTGGGAGATGAGGACGAGGTAGACTGTTGTGCACCTCCAACATGGAAAGTGTAGAACGTGCCGTGTGCTGTTGAAGCCGCCTCTAGCCGAGTCAACCGATGGCCACGCTAGCGAGCGTCGCCACGCATCAGTGAATGTATTTCCGTCCTCGTCCAAGATCTACCTACATCTGGATTATATCTGCTCCTCCACACGCAGGGGGCAAGATTCCACTCGATGGAGTTCAACTGGATAAGGCAGCCCTGCGGCGCCCTCCTCGCAGATGCTTCCCTTCCGCTGGATTCGGCGGGCATTCCGAAAGCTTCCGCGAATGTTCGGCTCGGTGAAAGCGTGGCCAATGTAAAAGACACTCCTGGAGTACTGTGAAGTAAGATGCGTTGGAATGGTCAACAGCATGCAACGAATCTGTTTACGCATGTACGTATACACACAAGCGCATGCATAAGCTATACTGGATTCTAGAGCGGAGCGTTGTGCTTATGGGGGCGCCACGCGTAACACGCAGAGAAAGACATGGCCGAGCGTAGGAGGGGGGGGGCGACTCGGCATCGAAACACCATCTCGATTTCGATGCGTCGACGCGTGCTGTTGCAGCTCTCACTGCGTACCGCCCTCTGCGAGGCAGCACCAGCTCGCCACCCGACGAAGCCGACGCCAAGAAGAGAGATACGGTCTCGAGGCACCGAGCCGGGCCAACCCGCCTCCACTTAACAGGCGAAGAACAGTATAAAATCAACTTTTTCGCCGTCAGGGACACCTGCCCCTGGGCGGCTGGAAAGTTTATACCCGTGACGGCCCTGGCGGAGCTGGGGCCAGGGCGCGGCCTAGGGCCACGGCTGGGTGAACCAGAAGTGGCACAGACATAGAAGCTCGGAGGTCCGCGCGGATTTGAAGGGGCCCCAGGACACACAAATACATACACACAAGTAAAAATATTCCCCATAAGTTCCCATCTTTTCTGGGTTTCTGTCTTCCCCCCACTTCCCATATTTTCCCATATTTTCTGGGGAATCGAGGATTCATTGTGTCTGTGTGTTTTTTCCTCTCCTGAGGATTTCTCGGATCGGCGCTGGGACCCCCCTCCCTGGCGCGCGGAGCGCGCCAGGGGCGGCGCCGGAGGCGCCGCCGGGGGGGGCCAGGCCCGACCCCTGGGGCCCCCCCCAGGAGACCATCCCGAGACCTCGAGAAGGACCTCCCACGCGCGGGATGCCCACGACTCAGGACCCGCGGCGACGCCCAGGACCCACGACCCCCCTCCCCCCCGCGGGGTCCCCAGCTCGAGAAGGACTCAGCCCAGGAGGCATGGCGACAGCCATGCGTCGGCAACGTCGTGCCACGCTACATGTTGGAGATGCGGTTTCTCTAACCATGGTGGCAGGCATATGCAGCAGCACAACTGGACAAATCACCATGGGCACAGAAGCCCACATTCTTACAGGCGAAAGGCGATTCATCAATTCGAGCCACATGCTGCGTTACCACAACTTCTAGGTGCCCACGTAAGTCAACTTCCTGGTGAAGGATCCAACCATATGCAAGTGTAGTATGAGTGCCGGACGGCAGGTGGGATGCAGGAGGGTGAGATCCCTAGGGGGGAAAAAACGCGTCAGGGGTGTGCCGACATGGGTGGGGCGGCACTGGCGCCCTCGGTCGAGCTCCCTGGGGGGCCACGATTTTTTTGTTTGTTTGTGTGAAAGGTGTGCCGACATGGGAGGGTGCGGCGCCATGCGAACCTTGCCATGGAGGCCTTCGGTGGAGCTTCCCATGGGGCCACGAAGAGTGTGAGGGGTGTGCCGGAATGGGCAGGACGGCGCCATGCCAACCCCGCCAGTGAAGCCGTCGGTGGAGCTCCTTATGGAGACGCGAAATGTGTGAGGTCTCTGCCGAAATGGGCGGCTCCACGCGAACCCTGCCACTGGCGCCCGCGGTTGAGCTCCCTGAGGGGCCACGAAACGCGCGAGGGGTGTGCCGAAACGGGCGGGGCGTCGCCATGTGAACCCTGCCATTGAGGCCGTCAGCGGAGCTGCCTATAGGGCAACGAAACGTGTGAGCGGAGCGCCGAATTGGGCATGCGGCTGGCACCGGCGGGGATGTGAGGAGAGAGGGGGGGAGGGGAGGAGAGGAGACGCGGGACACTGTCTCTTCAAAAGAGGACCCCAGACCACTGGATGGTTGGGGGCAAACACTCACGGAACCATGCGCGGCACGAAGAGCAGAGGCCACGCAGGGCGTGGCACGCACGGCACGCGAGACACGTGCGGCGAGCAAGGGGCGGCGCGCACGGCATGCCCACAAGGGTGGGCACGCAAGGCACGGCGCACAGTGCAGGGCGTGCAGGTCGCGCACGGAGCATCCGATATCAGTGATATCAGCACCGATCGTGGGAGTTACCGATCAAGAGCTCACAACAGTGAGATCTGCACCTGCTGGGTCGGCCACGGAGACTGAGGACCTCTGCACTACAGCTCTCATGAATCAGGGGAGACTGCAAAGGGAGGGGAGGAGAGCACCGGAGAGGGAGCGGAGCGAACTGCAAGAAGGGTCGCATGCCCCGAGACGGGGCCGCGTCTCCCCCACACACAAAAGCACTGCAAGAACCTCTCCCTGCTGGAGGATAGGCCCGGACGAGACCTCCCGACCCCCCGTGAGAACCGGAGCCTGCTCCGCCGATGCCTCGAAGAATGGAGCACATCCGAAGCGAGGTCCGAGCACCCTCCGAGGAACAGTTCGGGCACGTCCAAGGAAGCCTTCCGAGAGCCTCGGCCGCTCTTCGGCGGCGAGCCCCAGGGGGAAGTGAGCAGGGGGCAGGCCTCCTCCGCAGGCGGCGGGGCTTCTCGGAAGCCCTCGCGCCTTCCGGGAGGCCGCCCGCGGCTCCGGAGAAGGCACACCACCGCTTCTCGGAATGCCCGAGGGCCTTCGAGGAGCCCCGCCGCCTTCTGAGAGGGCCTGCCCCCTCTCGCTTGCCCCCATGGGCTCGCCGCCGCCTTCTCCCACTACAGGCTTCCCGAAGCTGGGCTGTGGGGCCGCACACGGCCTGCGTCGCACGCCGGCTCGGAGCTGAGCAGGAAGAGCTCGAACGCCTGCCACCGGTCGCCCGGTGCGGCCGCGCAGCGCACCCAGCACCACAGTTGACACATACGATGAGGAATCTTGCTGCAAGAGATCTTTGGGCAGATTCTTCGTCGATTGTCGAATGTTCTACGGTGCCCCAGGACTTTTGTGAGTCCTCGGGGCCATGGGGCCGTCGGAGGAGAAGAAATTTCCATGGGGCGCCTTCTCGCAGGCCACCTCCGT